TAAGATCTCCAAGGCTTATCAAAATGTCACCGAATAACACATGAAAAATATAATTTCATATGTGAGGGGAAAGTGTACACACACACACACACACACACACACACGATGTTTAAGTATGTAAATGCATAAAAGAAAGATCTGAAGCTGGGGTTGTAGCTCAGCAGTGGAAGGCTTGCCTAATATGTGAGGCACTGGGTTGGATTCTCAACACCACATAAAAATAAACAAATAAAATAAAGGTATTTTGTCCATCTACAAGTGAAAATATTATTTAAAAAAAAAGAGAAAGATATGATAGGATACCAAACTGCTAATGATAATGATTACCTTTAAGAATGACACTGGAGCAGGTGCAGTGGCAAACACCTGTAATTAATGTGTGTGTGTGTGTAGCTTCACAAAATTGAGATTTTGTAACCCTTTTTCTCTCCCACCTAAACCTATATGTAGAATATATTTCCCCATAGCATTAACTCCTTTTCTATCATTTGCAAATGTCCCATTGTGTGGGTGTTTGATTTATTCAAGAAGCCCTCTTCTCTTGGACATTGACACCCCCCTTTTTTCTTTTATATTATAAATAGTGCTACAATGAACCAATGTTTTAAAAGCATGACCATGATATTTTGTTGCTCATCCAATCAAGAAGTGAGTCTATTTCTGAATCTGGGCTAGACCATTTGATTTGCTTTGCCCAGTGGGGATGTTAGCAAGTATGATGGAGCAGAGGCCTGAAAGATGCCTATATATCAAGGCATGCCTCCTTTTTTGATGCTGAGAATCCTGAGACCACTCTCTGAAGAAGTTATAGTTAGCTTATTAGAAGAGGAAAAACTATAGAGAGATGGGATTTAGTCATCCCAGCTAAAGCCCAAACATGTTAATGAGACCATTTTAAGTCATCCCAGATCATCAGCTCCTACTGAGCTGGTCCAGCCCTGAAAATCACCCAATCATAGCAATCACTCCACAGAATAAAAGGTAATAAATGTTTGTTATTTCAATCTGCTACATTTGGGATCCTTTGTTACACAGCAAAAGCTAATTAATGCAAATATGTTTTTTCTCCCCCAGTACTGGACACTGCTACTGAGATACACTGGCAATGTATTTTTTGTTGTTTGGTTTTTGGTAGGAGGGATTGAACCCAGGGGTGCTTAACCACTGAGCCACATCCCAACCCTGTTATTTTTTATTTGGACACAGGGTCTTGCTAAGTTGCTTAGGGCCTTGCTAAATTGCTGAGATGGCCTCAAACCTGCAATCCTCCTGCTTCAGTCTCCCACTTTGCTGGGATTATAGGCATGTGCCATTGCACTTTTATTTTATTTTGAAATGGGTTGCCCAGGCTAGTCTTGAACCTAGATCCTCCTGTCTCAGCCTCCTGAGTAGCTGGGATACTAGGTGTGTGCTATTATACCCAGTGATACAAACATTCTTTAGATGACAGTTCCCTAGAAGCATGACTTTCTGGGTCAGTGTGAACACTTTTATATCTTTTGATTCAAAGTGCCAAAAATGTTGTATCAATTTATAAACTACTAGCAATAAATGAGAATACCCATATTTCCCATCTTTGTCAATACTAAACACTAATGTTTCTTGTTATCATTGTGACTGCATTGTGCTTGTAAAGTTAAGAGTGAATTGTCCATTCTCTCTCAGTTCATAGTCAGTTTAGGGAAAGAAAGGGGAAAAATATGTCGGAGGAAAAAGAGCAGAAGGGCTGGGGATGTGGCTCAGTGACAGAGTGCTTGCCTGAAAAGCATGAGGCCCTGGGTTCAATCCCAAGCACCAAAAAAAAAAAAAAAAAGGAAAAAAGAAAAAGAAAAGAAAAGAAAAAGAGCAGAAAAGAGAAAAAATGGAAGACTATAAGAAAAAAGTCAAAAGTTATAAATACAGAGGAAAGGGCTGGGGATGTGGCTCAAGCGGTAGCACGCTCGCCTGGCATGTGTGCGGCCTGGGTTCGATCCTCAGCATCACATACAAAGATGTTGTGTCCGCCAAAAACTAAAAAATAAATATTAAAATTCTTTCTTTCTCTCTCTCTCTCTCTCTCTTTCTCTCTCTAAAAATAAATAAATACATACAGAAGAAATAACAGACTTATAGAATAAAACCACCTTCAAACCTTTTATAATAGGTTATTTAATATGTAATCAGGAATAGTTATGGGCCTTATAAATGATTATGGTTACAAGATGTATGAAAAGAAATGCTATTAAGGAAAGCCTTGTGAATCTGAGAACACTGTAAACATAGGTATCAGACTCTTTCATATGTGCTTGCATTTAATTGTTCTCATGATACAGATAAGAAAAACTAAACGTCAGAACTTGATAAAGATATTCCAGATTTGAGTCCAAATCTGCTTGGCTTGAAAACTGATGTTTCCACTTACTCTTTCTAGAGGAGATGTAGAAAAGACTAGCAACTAATGGTAGGAGGATACATAGCCTCCTTTGGATTCCTATTGCCAAATTATTTTCCAGAAAGGAGTCAGAACCCCTGGGTTTGAATCCAAGCTCTGCCACCTACTAGCTGTGGCTCTCAGCATCTCTATGCCTCAGTTTCCTCATCTGTAGAATGGCTTCATAAATATAATTGGGGTAAATGAACACATAGATATAAAGCACCTAGAATAGTGGTTGCCAGATAGCAAAGTATTGCATAAACTTGGTCAATTACAATATGGTGTTGCAGTGGTCATAAGACTAATTCTGATCATCCTGTTGACAGGTGATTCTTCTGCAGTAGCTTTGATTGTACTCACGACCACACACCATGGTGGAATTCCTCGGGAGAAGGAATGACCTTGATGCCCTGTTTTTCTCCATGTAACTTTGGGGAGGGGAGGAGGAAGAGGAAAGTGGTGTGTCATTTTTTAAAGATCTGCTGCTTCAGTCTCCAGTTTTGCAAAGAAGTGAAAGGGAACCCTGACTAACCTAGTAAATATCTGCTTATTCTGCCATCTGGGAATTAGAACAGGCTTCTTCTAGTCTTACAATTCCCATTTGTAGCTATGGTGCGTGAGTGATAATAATAATTAAAATGAAATAGTACTGACATAACAAGTACTCTTTACATAAAGAGTACCATCCAAATTCCAGGCACCATCCAAAGTACTTTACAAATACCATTTCATTTAATACTCAGAACCACCCTTTGAAGTAGGTACTATTCTTTCTTCTATTTTACAGATGGGGAAACTGAGTCTGAATCTTTCATTCTCTGACACTGTACTGTCTCCTGTTTGAGAATATGCAACTTGGGGTGGAAAAATGACTACGAAAGCAATGCAACACTTCTCAGCCAAATCCATTCATCATACTCCCTTTCTCAGTCACAACAATATTCCATTGCTAGAACCACTTGCAGCAAGATGTCTGGGAACTGAGGTGGGAGTCAGGAAACGGATTATGTATTTGCAACCACTTCAAGTCAGCTCAGGTCAAATTCTTGTAGTCTTTTGGTGAAGGAGGCTGGTGAGAGGAAAATGTCTGTCTCTCTTCCTCTCCCTGCCCCCAACTGTAAAAAACACTAAGCAGTCTTCAGTACAGCAGACTGTGGCAACACCAGGCCTGATTAAGGAATGACAATATGGAAGGCAGATGGCAAATGCATGGATGCCACACTATTGCGCTTCAGTTAAATATTGCTTGGTTTTTTTTTTTTTCCTTGTAAACCTCCCAAATAAAATCCTTTGCTTTCCCCAAGTTAGAAGTGTTAGCACGTCTTTTCTTTAAATATCTGTGCATGGCTGTTTTTTTCCCTGCCAATTTGTCACCATCTGTAACCCTCCCTTTATGAGATGATCTGATGACAGCAATTATCTTGGAGAGTAAAAGTGCAGTCTTGAAGCAACATGTAAGAATGGAGTCAGTGGGGGCTGCGTGTGGAGTGCATGCTGCCCTTGCAACTTGACTGCACGCGTATCCTGTGTACCCAACAACAGTGTACTTTGACTCTGGGTGCCTCCTGCATGTGAGTATGTAGTGTGTGAGCATTCTGCCAATTTCGGTGTGTGTGTGTGTGTGGGGGGGGGACTGGGTGTTGGGCTCTGTGCCTGCCTGTGTACTTGGGGTCTGTGCTCTGTGTAAACATCCTGTGGACACCTGCATAGGAGCCAACTGCTTGTGTGCTTTGCACAAGCTGTTCAGACTATTGGGGAAAGGTCTTCTTCAGGAGGGCATGATTTCTCCAAGGTGCTTAAAGGCCTGAAACTTGGAGAACTGGACCATGGAATATTAACGGGGATTGGGCCTGGGTAAAAGGAAAGTAAATTATGGATGGTTTGCAGGAAGACGCTCCTGAGAGGTGGTATGATTATAAAGAGAGAGGGGAACGGAGGAGGTCTTCTCCAGAGAGGCTGGAGCACAGCGCGGGCCAAGCACCGGGCTCAAGCGCCGGGCTCCGGGTGGCTGGCTGGGAGCCGCCGGCGCGCTCCGCCCCTCCCCTTCGCTCCCCACCCCCGGGCGCGGCGCCGCGGGGAAGGGGGGACTCGGGCAGGCGGGGGCCGCCGCGACTATGCGAGGGGCTGCGGCAGCGGCCGTGATGGCGGTCGGTAGCGGGACGAGGCGCGGGTCCTGGGCCGCGGCCCGGGAGAGGGTCAGAGGCCCCGAGCCCTAAAGCGCTGCCCGGCCCAACTCACCATGAACGTCGCGCTTCAGGAGCTGGGCAGCGGCGGCAACGTGAGTGGGGGCCTGGGGTTCCAAGGCAGAGGACCCGGGTGGAGGAAGGGACCAGGCAGCGGGGTCCGCCGCGAGGAAGCAGGCGGCGTCGGGCAAGAGGCTCTGGCTGGCCGAGATGAGGCCTCGTGTGGGGGTTGGGGTGGGGGACAGTGTCAAAGGGGACCCCAGGCCCAAGAGCCCGGGTGGTGGGAAAGGGCCCTCACTGCAGGAGGGAAGGGGTCCGCTGGGCGACGGGTGCTGGGCCAGGGACATGGGCATCAGCTCTCTCTGCCTGCCTGACCTCGTTGGCACCCCCGGACTGTCTGGCAGATGGTGGAGTACAAACGGGCCACTCTTCTGGATGAAGACGCACCGGAGACCCCCGTAGAGGGCGGGGCCTCCCCAGACGCCGTGGAGGTGGGCAAGGGGGTTCCCCCTTTCTCACCAGGCCCCAGCTCTGGCATGACGCCTGGCACACCCAGGAGCTCTGGGCTGTTCTGGAGGGTCACCTGCCCCCATCTCCGCTCCATCTCTGGCCTCTGCGTTAGGACTATGGTGAGGTGATTCTAAGCCATGACGTTGCACAAAACAGGCTCAGTGCTCCACTCGGCCTGCCTCATTGCCCCTGGGCCCAATGTTCAACCCCTTAGTGTTTTTGCTTCATGGTTCCGGAATTGCTTGTGACTTCACTCTCTGGGAGTACTTCTGTAATCTTGGATCCCTGCCCTGCCTTTCATTCCCTCTGTCCCCCTGTGTTCCCCAGGTGGGATTCCGGAAGGGGACAAGACAACTTTTAGGCTTGCACACCCAGTTGGAGCTGATCTTGGCAGGTGTCTCTTTACTGCTGGCTGCACTGCTTCTGGGCTGCTTGGTGGTCCTGGGGGTCCAGTACCACAGAGGTACGTGGGCCCACACCTGTCACCAGCCCTCATAGTTGTGAGGGATCTGGAGGCTGAAGGGCCTCTAAGCTTTCCTCTGTTTGGAGGCAGCCTTCCCATCCTTCCTATGATCATGGCCCTTGGAAAGAGTTTGCCTCTCCCAGATTATCTGAAAGTCTCCTACTCTCAAACTATGTCTCCTGCCACAGACCCATCCCACAGTACCTGCCTCACAGAGGCCTGCATTCGAGTGGCTGGAAAAATCTTGGAGTCCCTAGACCGTGGGGTGAGTCCCTGTGAAGACTTTTACCAGTTCTCCTGTGGGGGCTGGATTCGGAGGAACCCTCTGCCAGATGGGCGTTCTCGCTGGAATACCTTCAATAGCCTCTGGGACCAGAACCAGGCCATACTGAAGCACCTGCTTGGTGAGTGGAGCTGTCAGTGAATTGGTGTGCCAAGTATATTTTTAGGGGTGTCCAGCCCAGGGCCTGGCACTTAGTAGATACTCAATTGATGTCCACATGTGAAGAAGTAGATTGCTCTGTGAGGTAGAATGTGCCGAAAGTAGGGGGCTCCAGAGAGGTGGAGACAGGTTAGAGGGAGGCAAAACATTGAGTATAATAAAAGGGCTCCTTCCTGCATTTTTTCAAGATGTGGTAGACACCAGGGACCCTGTAGTGTTTGGATATCTTTGAGGGTCTCCACGAACAGGGGAGAGGAAGGCACCCACATTTGCTGTTTCAGACAGTCTTATTAGGTCCACATTAGGAAGACTCTCATTGGTAGGGCAAGGAGAAGCACAATCAAGGGCCAGGGACTCCCCCTCACCAGTTAACCTAATTGGCACCTGGACTCTGTCTTCACCCCTCAGAGAACACCACCTTCAACTCCAGCAGTGAAGCTGAGCGGAAGACACAGCGCTTCTACCTGTCCTGCCTACAGGTGGAGCGCATTGAGGAGTTGGGAGCCCAGCCACTAAGAGACCTCATTGACAAGGCAGGGCTATTGAATGGACTGCGGGCAGGGGGAGCAAGAGGGCCTTGGAAGAGAATGTGCTCAAAGAAAGCTTTGGGGTACCTGTGCTAGAGGTTCCACTTATGATCTCTACTCAGATCGGTGGTTGGAACATTACGGGGCCCTGGGACCAGGACAACTTCATGGAGGTGCTAAAGGCAGTAGCAGGGACCTACAGGGCCACCCCGTTCTTCACCGTCTACATCAGTGCCGACTCCAAGAGTTCCAACAGCAATGTCATCCAGGTGCTGGACTGAGAAAGGGTGGGGAGAGACTCTTTGCTGAGCCCAGATTCCTCTACCTGGTGACAGGCAGGTGCACCCTGCACAGGAGTCCAGGTTCCAGGTGTGATAGGGACTCACCTTCTTTCCTTGCTGTTGCAGGTGGACCAGTCTGGGCTCTTTCTGCCCTCTCGAGATTACTACTTAAACAGAACCGCCAATGAGAAAGTAAGGAACATCCTCAGAACCCCCATCCTCACCCCTTGCTGAGCTGGACTGATCCCTGAATACTTTTCTGTTTGTCCAGGGTCAGAGTGGGGAAGGTGAGCCCATTCTGTCACCTAGTGAGCTGACTGCCCTTCCTTCCTTTTCTTCCTTCCTTCATTTTGTTTTTCCAGAAAAGCATTGCTTTTCTTTTCCTTTCTTTTCTTTGTGATTCTAGGAATCAAACCAAGGGTCTGTGAGTGCTAGACAGGGCTATACCATGGAGCTATACCCTCAGCTCCAGGAAAACATTTTATAAGCACATACTGTGTGCCAGGTACAGTGGGGGAATTCTGAGATGTAAGTTGCAGAGCCATTATCACTGGAAATTTGCACTGTTGGTGTACCTAGATAGCTAAGAAAAGGGCTCAAAAGAGGATCTCTGGGACTCAGGAGAGACTTGGGTGTCCAGAGGTTTCCTGAAGAGACTGTATTTGAGCCAGACCCTGTAGAACATGTAGAAGCATATGAAAGCATACTGGGTAGAGAAAAACAAGTTAAACAAAAGTGTTGAAGAAGGAAAGACAAGGTGTGTTCAGATCATGGGAATGAGTCTAGTTTGGTAAGGTGTGGTGATCTAAGTAGAAGAGAGGTTGGAAAGGTGGTCAGGAACTAGTTATGGAGGGGATTGTGAATGTTTCACTAAGGAGTTATTCTATAGCCCCCAGAAAGCCATTGTATGCTCCAGAGCAGGGAGGAAGTGATGCAGTGAGCACTCTCTGGGAAAACAATTTGGCTAGGGTGTGAAAAGTAGATGCAAGACAGGGAGCCTGGAGAGGAGGTAAGAGTCTCTGCTCTGAATTCCAGGCTGTGAGTCAGTAAGGGCCCAAGTGAGAGAGTGCAGAGGGAATGTTAGGATGGTGATGGTGAAATGGAGGGGTCCTTAGGGAATCAGGAGAAACCAGCTTTGGGTACACTGGGGAAAAGGAGACAATGTGATGTCATCAGAGAGATTTTGGAGTCAGACCTGGATTTTAATCTCGTCTTTGCTGCTTAGTGCAAGAAGGTTGATCTTGCTAAGGTTATTTTCTCTTCTGTAAGTAGGGGAACCAGAGCCTCTAACTCATGTGGGGCGTGGGGTGTGGGAGTGCAAGCTTCTGCTCCTGCTGTAGTAGACACTCAGTGGGTGAGAGCCTCTCCTATTAGATGTCTGAGTACAAGGGGCCTGGATGCCTTGTCTGTGAGAGGTCTGTAGCAGCTGTGAAAGTCAAGTGGAATCCCAGAGATACGACAGTATGAAGGAAATGTGAGGCTTGAGGGGCATCTTCTTTGAGAACTACACAAAGATTTAGGGAAAGTAAGAGAAAGGAAAAGACTGGACATGGGAAAGGAGGAAATCCTAGTGTTTTAAGTGCAGTGAGAAGAAGGAGCATCAGCAAAAGAGACTGCTGTGGGGAAGGACAACCTGGAGAGCCCTTTATCACACTGTCCTTCACAAACATTTCCTGAGCATTCCTGGGCCAGATTCTCTTCTAAGCATTGGTGAACAGGACATCACCATGGCCCTCTGAATGGAAGAGAAGACATGAAGTAGCTGGTTACACAGTGTCCTGTTCCCAGTTGTTGGGACTGAAATAGAGGAGAAGCATGGTTCCCAGTGTGAGCAGGACCAGGAACCAGCCTAGTGCTGGGGTGAGGGTGGACCCCAGTGAGTAGAGAGGTTCTGTAGAGGGAGCAGCTTAGGTGAAGGCTCTGAGGTAGGAAGGCAGATGGCCTGTTGATATACTCAAGGAGAGAGGGACCAGGAGGGGAGAGTGGCTAAGTCCTTCTGGACAGGGATATAGACCAGTTTTATGTATGAATATTGTTGGTCAAGTTTAGGATTTATTGCAAAATAAATGATGTGAATAGATGTGTGTTTTTAGCATCATCTAAGTTGTGAGGAGAGAACTTGGAGAATGCAGGAGTGAACCACATCATTCAGCATGTCTGATGGAGTGAGGGAAAGCCTTGGGTTTGATTCTCAGTGTGTCACTGGTTGCCTTGGGCAGAAGCTTCCTGCCAAGGTCTAGAGGAGGGTGCAGCACAAAAGGTTAAGATGGAGTAAAAAAAAAAAAAGTAGGAATACAGAGGCTTTAGGGAAGTCTCCAAAGTAAGTCTTCAGCCACAGGTAAGGAGCTGGAGCTGTAATTTGGTTGAGCTGACCATCCCAGTTAGGATCCGGGATGATTGGGTTTTGGCACTTCTCTCTCTTCCTCTAGCACCAGCAGCAAGAAAAAGGAGAGTGAGAAAAAGAGATATTTTGTAGTACAGACATTGTGAATATTAAGGGATTGAAAACCTTTTCAGTAAAATAGAAAAGGAGATGGCCTTTCTTTGTCCATTAAGGGAGTCCAGGATAGGGCTGGGAGTGGTCTCTGGGAAGAAAGCCACAGGGATTGGTGCCAAACAGTACTGAGTTCTGTTTGTATATTTTCATCCCTTTCTTCAACAAATACATTTTGAGCATCTACTATGTGGCAGACACTGTGCCATGGTGGTGAACAAAGCAAACAGTCCCCACTCTCACAGAGCTTGTATGCCAGCAACATAAGTTTGTGCTGGACCCATGTAGTGCTCAGGCCATGGCACATTCTGATTCTTTTATGGAGTAATTTGAGATAGGAATCAAGCCATGTCACCTTACCAAACTTATTCCCTCTGCTCTGTGTAAAATGGATTAGTACTCACTTTATGAAGTTGCTGTGGGAGCGTGGGGGAATATATATTATATGCAAAGCCCCTAGCAGTCTGATGTGTGTATATAGAATCACTAAGGATTTATTTTCTGTGCTTTTCTCTCCCTTGGAGATCAGGGGGGATTGGAAAAAACAGCAAGTGTGAGGCATGGTAGGATGAAAGAGAGAAATAATTTGAAGGCTACAGGGGGCCAGATTTCCAGTAGGGTCCAGTCAGCTATTCAGTGAAGACCCACAGCCACTGATGGGCTAGGACGACTAGAAGAGCTTTAGGAAATGAGAAGGCAAAGCAGATTTGTCCAGACCATCCACTGGACAAATATTTGCAGAGCACCAATTCTGTGTTTGGTTGGTCCTGTTTGAGGCCTTTGGGATACAGGGGTAAACAGCTGCTGAAACTTGAACAGAGTTCTCCTTGGGGAAAGTAGTTGACAAGTGCACAAATAAATAATCAAGATAGAGCAGACAGTGGTCAGGGCTGTGTTGGAAATGAAACAGGGTCAGCCAGGATGGCTTCCCTAAGAATGAGTTGAGCAGAAGAGAGAGTGGGCAGAGGTGGGGCCAGGACAGATCCTTGCCGCCTGAGCCAGCGCTTGCTGACTCTGAGGATGTCTTGGTGCTTCACAGGTGCTCACAGCCTACCTGGACTACATGGAGGAGCTGGGGATGCTACTTGGTGGACAGCCAACTTCCACCCGGGAACAAATGAGGCAGGTGCTGGAGCTGGAGACACAACTGGCCAACATCACAGTACCCCAGGACCAGCGGCGGGATGAGGAGAAGATCTATCACAAGATGAGCATCTCAGAGCTGCAGGTGGGATAGGCAGAGGACTAGAGACATCTGGGATGGGCCGGTCCCTGGTACAGAGCACCTAGCTTTCCTTCATGCCATTTTCCTTGAGGCATCTGGTCCTTTCTTCATTTCCTCTCTTTTCTGAGCTTCCCAGCTGCACTGTTCCTATCCTGCAAAGACAAATGGTGACCATTTTAAGCCACCTCTCACAGGATCATCCATTTGTCTCTTTCTTGTGAATGAATGGAGAGATTGTGTTAAAAATTTATAACGACTTGGATGAGATGTTCACACAACAATCAGAATGGATATGGAAGTGTCTCCCGTAGGCTCCTTCTGTGTCAGGCAGCAGTCCTTTTGGTGGTGAATTATGGGAAGGCTAGGAAAGGGGAGGTTCTGGAGTAGAGGCCAGGTGTGTGGGAGGTGTCAGGGGAGTGGTATTGTATCAACAGTTATGAAAATATTTGACTATCTGTGCTCCAGCTGAATATCACACATTTCCTTGTATAGTAAGTGGTTGAGCTCCCAGACTGAGTGGTTCTCAGGCCTGGAAAAGGGAGGGAGGAAGTCACTAAGCAGCCAGTAGCTGTTGCCATGGCAATGGGAAGACCTCCCAGGCTACAATGTATCAGTGGGGGAGGGGTCCACTGGAAGCATCAGCAGGCAGTCAACCAAGCCTGAGAATTTTTTTGCTCTCAGGCTCTGGCGCCCTCCATGGACTGGCTTGAGTTCCTGTCTTTCTTGCTGTCACCATTGGAGTTGGGTGACTCTGAGCCTGTGGTGGTGTATGGGACGGATTATTTGCAGCAGGTGTCAGAACTCATCAACCGCACCGAACCAAGGTGGGAGGGAGCCCAAGGTGCAGGGGGTGGGACTCGGGGCTCTGTGGAGATAGTAGGGACTAGACCCAGTGGATGCATACAACCACACAAAGCAGCATTTGATGAGTAAGGACCTGGGTCATTCCAGTCATGAGAATGTCTGTAGGTTCTTCCTCCAGACCAGGGTTTCAGGTTGCCCATTTGTGACCTCCATTCCCAAGTCAGCTTGGAGCTGACCTCTGCAGGCAGGTATGTGGTCTCAGGGTGAGAGAGGGACTCTAGGACAGCTTCAACATGTGCTTCTCAGGACTCCTGCTGCCTGCATGTTCTTGGGGATTGGCTGGTGGGAAAGGAAAAAGGTACTCCACTTCCCCTTATTTCCTGGTATGAATGCCAGTGTCCTGAACAATTACCTGATCTGGAACCTGGTGCAAAAGACGACCTCGAGCCTAGATCGGCGCTTTGAGTCTGCACAAGAAAAGCTGCTGGAGACCCTCTATGGCACCAAGAAGGTGGGCTCTCTGACTCTGCCCCCACCTTCTGACCCATCCCAGCTGATGCTGCACACTCACAGTGCATCAGGCACCAGTTGCCTCATGGTGTAGAGTGTGGAGCACAAAATTTAGAATCAAGCTGACCTGGGTTCTAATTCCAACTCCTCCATTTTTTAGCCTGTGGTACTTTGGGCATGTCACCCAGCTTCCTTGATTCTCTATCTCCTAGTCTGTAAAGCAGGAATAACTTTCAGGGTTGTTATGAGGATTAATTGAGTTAATGTCCTAAGTACATGATATGTACAGACATTGTAACTTTGATGATGGATGGGGAAGGCAAATAAATGCTGTCCCTTCATTTTACAATTCCCTTTTGTGGGTTTGGACTTATAAACAAATACATGTATTTGGGGGGGGGGATAAGAGCTCACACTGAGTGAAAGACTTTCTTTGTGATATAGGATAGAGGTGGGAACAAAGGGAGAGGCATAAGGAAAGGTTTCCCTGAGAAGAAAGGGTTCACCAAGAAATTAGGGAAGAAGGGCATTCGAGCCAGAAGGAATAGCATATGAAAATCCCCAGAGGAAAGGAAGAGTTTGGTTCTGATAGGAGCTTGAGAACTAGACAATAGAGAGGATGAGCTTGGTGAGGTGTGCATGGGGCATCCATGAAGGGACCTGGCTCTTGTGTTAAGATGTTTTGCCTTGATTCTTTCATGGAAGACCACGGGAGTAACTGCAGGAGATCAGCACTAGAGTTGTTATATATTAGATGATCTTTCTGATGTCCAAATGGATGATGGAGGAGAATGATGGGGGAGGGGGATGAGAATGAAACCAGTGTCTAGTCAGGAGACAACTGCAATCTTCAGGCAAGAGACAATAGTGCCAAGAACAGAGTGGGTAGCCATGTGTTCCTACTGAAGCTTCATTCCTGGTGTTGGCACAATTTGAGATATTGCCTTTATATCCCCTGGAGTCTGGGGGAGAAATGGCACCCAAAATCCAGGCCTTTGTTGTCCAGAGCTGAGAAGGGCTAGCTTCAGAGACAGAAAGGCCCTCTTGTTCATTTACAGTCCTGCACACCACGATGGCAGACCTGCATCTCCAACACGGATGATGCCCTTGGCTTTGCTTTGGGATCCCTCTTTGTGAAGGCCACATTTGACCGACAAAGCAAGGAAATTGTGAGTCTTCAGGCTTCTTGACCCTACCTTAAAATTCACCATTATATGAGTATATATTAAAAAACTGGAAGGAAATTCTTAAATGAATAGTGGTTACTTTGGACAGAGGAAACATAAAGATTTTTTTTATTGTTGTTCTTTAAGGTTTTCTTTATTTTCAAAAAAATTTATAATGAGTTTATATTATCTATATAATTAGAAAAAGGTAATATTTTCTTGTTAGGTAGAATTAATGGGTGTGCTTAAAGTATTATCCATGAGAATGTTTATGACAGTGTTGTTTATAACAGAGGGAATGAAAACAGCTTAAATGACCAACCATAGGAAAAATAAATTGGTTAGAACAGATTAGATTATGATGCAACTTTAAATTCAAGATGTACTTTTAAGTGAAAAAATAAGCTGCAAAAAACATATGTCATACAACATACTCCATATTTTATATTTATATCTGGACAGAGGAAAACACTAGAAATACACATCAAAATGTTAAAAGAAGTTATCTCAGAGTGATTGGATTATAAACACTGTGTTTTCTTTTCAACTCTTCTCAACTTCCCAGAGTTTCCATTAATTCCTTTCTTTCAGAATCTGATAAAAACAATGTGCTAGATTAAATTATATTATTAATTTATTTAATTGGCTTGTTAACATTTAAAAATTTTTGAATTAATTAGAAAAAGAAAGCCATCCTTAATGCCAGTACCTTCATAAATGATCCTTCCTTCTTATCCTTCCCAGATGCTAAACTTTAGGTGAACATTCCCATGGCTCACCTGGGGATGGGGTTGGGGCTGTAGGGCAAATAGGTGAGCAGGGATACATTAAGTGTGGATGGGAGACTAACTTGTGCCTCTGTTTCCCAGGCAGAGGGGATGATCAGTGAAATTCGTTCTGCTTTTGAGGAGGCTCTGGGACAGCTGGTTTGGATGGATGAGAAGACCCGTCAGGCAGCCAAGGAGAAAGTGAGTAATGTCTAGAGTTGGAGCGCCATCTTGAGGAAGGAATGGAGGATACAGTTTTACTGGGACCTGGGAAGGGAACCCTTTAACCTGTTCTCTTCAGGCAGACGCCATCTATGATATGATTGGTTTCCCGGACTTTATCCTGGAGCCCAAAGAGCTGGATGATGTTTATGATGGGGTGAGTACCCGTGCTCAGAGTACTGACCCGCAGCCTCAGTAACTGGGACTCAAGCACTGGAAGGAAAGGAGGTGCTTGTTGGTTTCTTTCAAAGGATACAGGCAACCCACATTGCTTAAGTGTAGGCTCTGTGCCAGGCTGCAGGCCAGATGATAGTAAATATTAGTGAGTGAGTAGGGATTTGGATCAAGACTGAGTCGAATCATGTTTCTACCCATAACTAACTATATAACCTTGGACAAGACCTTTGTGGTCCTTAGTGTCTTCATTTGCAAAATGAGGGTCCTACTAATACTTCACAGGGTTGTTGTGAGAACAAAATTAGGAAATATGTAAAAAACATAACAGCACCAGCAGCACAAATCCATCCCCAATTCTTTTAATTTTTTATTTTGAGCCAGATTCTCCCTAAATAGCTGAAGCTAGTCTTGAACTTCCAGTCTACCTGTCTCAGCCTCCCAAGTTGCATATGCCATGATGCCTGGCAATAAGTTGTTTTTTATATATTGGCAATTATTTACCAGGTATTTTACTCCTTTTTTTTTATGGAACCCGGAGCCTTATGCATACTAAACTAGTACTCTACCACTGAACTATATCCCCAATCTTTTACTCCCATTTTACAGTTGAGGAAACTGAAGCTTGGAGAGAGGCTAATGAGTAGTCAATCTGGGACTCTTATCTTCTTTATGTTCTCCCTTTCCACCTCCCGCCATGCCAATAGTATGAAGTCTCTGAAGATTCTTTCTTCCAAAACATGTTGAATTTGTACAACTTCTCTGCTAAGGTGATGGCTGACCAGCTCCGCAAGCCTCCCAGCCGAGACCAGTGAGAATGGGAGGCCACAGACACTGGGGACATCAGGGGAGGTGGGAAACAAGGGGTGGCACATGGCTCTTGCGGAAAGTAGGGCAGGGCTGCTGGACTTGGGGGTGGGCATTTTGAGAGTAGAGAGCCTCAGCCTCTCCCTTTCCCCTCTAGGTGGAGTATGACCCCTCAGACGGTGAATGCTTATTACCTTCCAACCAAGAATGAAATTGTCTTCCCTGCTGGCATCCTGCAGGCCCCCTTCTATGCCCGCAACCACCCCAAGTATATCTGAAGCAGAAGGGGCTGGGTGCTGGGACCTGGGCCTGCATGTGAGCTTGGAGCAGAACTAGAGGAGGGGATTCACAAGTCCCCTATAATGTCCTCACTCAGCATTCCTCATCTACCAGGGCCTTGAACTTTGGAGGTATTGGCGTAGTCATGGGTCATGAGTTGACACATGCTTTTGATGACCAAGGTAGGGACCTGGGGAATTGTCCCATAGAATTCCTAGTGGCTCCTGAAAGACCTTGGAATTTGGGGGGCAGGTCCTAGGGGCCCTGGAATCTGTGGATCAGGGATGGCAGGGGTGTTTCTGTTCTCAAGGGGTGAGCTATCATCCTGTGGGGTGCAAAGGTGAGTTCTCCTCAGGTCGTGAGTACGACAAGGAAGGGAATCTGCGACCCTGGTGGCAGAATGAGTCACTGGCAGCCTTCCGCAATCACACGGCCTGCATGGAGGAACAGTATAACCAGTACCAAGTCAATGGGGAGAGGCTCAATGGCCGCCAGACACTGGGGGAGAACATCGCTGACAATGGGGGGCTTAAGGCTGCCTACAATGTGAGTAGCCTGGTGGGCCTCCCGTGGCCGAGGCCTGTGGGCCTAGGTGGAAGGGTGCTGAAGGAAGCAGCAGGCCCAGGTGGACTTGCTGCCCACTCTTTCCCCCAGGCTTACAAAGCATGGCTCAGGAAGCATGGGGAGGAGCAGCAGCTGCCAGCCGTGGGGCTCACCAATCACCAGCTCTTCTTTGTGGGATTTGCCCAGGTACTGCCCCCCGGGAGACCTGGGGTTGCCCTTTCTTGATCTCCTCTAGAGAATGTTATTAGAAGAAATGGGGGGCATGCAGAAAAGGGACTGACAAATAGGGCCGAAGTTGAGCTTTGGGAGGTGGGTTGGGAAGGCCTTATGCCCAGAGCCTACAAAAACAACCTGAGGAGGGAAAGTCTTGGATAGGATTTTGCAGATCTTAAGAGCAGGGCTGCCTTGCTTGAGGGGGTAAGAGATGGGAGTAGGCATCCATCCTCTTGATGTTCCTGTGGGGTAGGTATGAAGAAGAAGATTGAAATCTGGGGATACAAAGTAGCTTGTTCAGGGCTATCCAGGAGTAAAGTAAGTAGCAGTGGGAGGATTCAGGTGGGGCCTCCCCCAGGTACTTTGCATCACAGTGGCCAGCCTTGAGGGGCTTTGTTTCCCCAATTCCACTGGGCCGTGTCCACACTGGGCAACCCAATGTCCAGGGCAGCTTTAGAAGAGCTTCAAGGAATTGGGGGAGGAGTGGGGGTACATTCCCCTCCCTTGGAATTGAGATGTTGATGGAGACCCCGGCAGTGTTCCTGAGTCCTCCTGAACTAAGGGACTGGGGCAATGATGGTTTTGCCCTGAGATGGTTCTGCTGTGGCCAAGGATATGGCCTAGCCCCAAACTAGACACCATATGTCCCCGTGTCTGTCCTGGCCCGCAGGTGTGGTGCTCAGTCCGCACACCAGAGAGCTCTCACGAGGGGCTGGTGACCGACCCCCATAGCCCTGCCCGCTTCCGCGTGCTGGGCACTCTCTCCAACTCCCGTGACTTCCTGCGGCACTTCGGCTGCCCTGTCGGTTCCTCCATGAACCCAGGGCAGCTGTGTGAGGTGTGGTAGACCTGGGTTGGGGAAAAAGATGGCTGGCCATTGCCAAGGCCTGGGACTCCCAGGTTAGGAGAAAGCAAATGCAAGCTGGGCTGGGTCCAGCCCCTCCACCCCACAGGTGACATAAGTCTAGTCCCCCCTTGACCACCACATCGTGCCTCTGCTTTGGGGGTGCCCTTTCCTCCAGCAGAGCCCCCACCATTCACTGTGACATTCTTCTGTGTCACCCTGCCTTGAGGAGGTCTAGGCAGAGAATCCAGTTCCCATAGAAATGAGTCTTTGGCTCCAAGCTTATTCAGCTTGGGGGCTATGGGGCCTGCTGTGTTTGCCCTATTGTGATCCACAGGGCCTGCGGCTGTGCCTCCCAGGCTTCTCTCCAGACTTACTCAGTGCCCAGATGGAAGTGGGCTCAGCTCCCTTCCAATCCGCCCTCAGAGGCCACCCCCACCCCGTGCTCCTTGTGCTGCTGCTCCCTGTACTGCTGCCCACCCTCACCGAGAGATCTACTATGCTCTCTTCTTAGTGGAAGCCGAGGGCCTTTAGAAGCCTCCCTGCTGCCTCATTTTCCCTGCTGAGAGGGGAAGTGTTCATGTGTAGCAGTGCCAATTCCTGTGTTTTAGGGAGCAAGTTTTAGAGGGTGACTGATTCTCCCTGGACAAAACAGGAAAGCAAGACAGAACAGGGAGAGGGAAGGACAGAGTTTATTTTTACAGGGAAGAGGGTGGGGAGGGTATGGTGTTGGCCCTGTAGGACCCTGTGCCAATAAATAGACCACATCAGTCAGCCTGTCTCTTCCTTAAGTCTTGTTTTCATTTATTCATTCCACCAGTATTTATTGAGCAACTGCTATATCCCAGGCATTCTTCAAGAAACTCATTTTACTAACTCTCCAGAGACAAGGGGCTAAGATTAGAAGCCCTGAGAAGACAGAGAAAGAGAGGTGGGGTGGAGAAATGGAATGAATGCAGTTGAGTCTGGCCAGGCAGAGCACATCTTCTGCTCGATAGCTGGAAAGATTTGCAACTTCTTTCTGCTGGTATTTGAAGCTGGCCTGACACTCAATAACATCTGGATCAGGTCAGCCTGGAAGATGGGTGGCCCTTACCTTGCAGAGGAGGAAAGCCCTGGCCAAGAGAATGTACCATTCCCTGGAATTCAACACACCAGCATCTGCTTGTGGCTAAGAAGACAAGCATTTCCTCACAGCCTCAAGGGCTCAGAGCTCCTGAGAGTAAGTCATTCCATCAACCCACACTCATTAAGGCCTACCAAGTGCCAGGCATAGAGACTGCAAATACGGCCTTAACCTTCCAGAGTGAGGGAGGGGAAAGGAAATATTTATCTAACACCTCTTGTGTTCCAGGCACCTGTGCTAGGTGGCTCATTTCTTTATTCATCCATCCATTTATTAATTTATACATTCATAGATTTATTTTTAAAAATATATTGATCACCAACAATGTGTCAGGCACTGGGGATGCAAACATGAATAAGATGGTTTCTTCCCTTATGGGACTCTTGTGTCACTTTTACCTTCACCTAATCCTTATAGCAACTATATTCATTCAGTGCTTAAGTTTCCATTTTATAGATCTAACCCTAGCCACTTCACTGAAGTTAAAGAGAACAGGATTGAAATTGAGACTCTGACAATTGAATGAGCCAGGGCCTATTCCCTAACCTCTGTGAGTCTCAGTTTCTTCATCCATGAAGTGAAAACTATAGCAAAACAATAAAGTCCAATCTCACTTCTCTCTAAAACCAAGTGCTCCTCAAAGTATAAGAAGGGGTGCATTTGTCAGTTTGTAAGGGAAATAATAAGGGCTTATCAGTGATTGCTGCTGGGGTATCTGATCCCTTGGTGATGTCATTTGTATGGATCCCACAGTTTGTATCCTGCACCAGTTCTTCAGGGCATCAGACTGTCCCTATGAAGAGCTGTATATGGGGCCATTTCGTGTTACCTAGAAGTACTGGCTACTCACGAAGGGAAGGAAATATTTGCTTTCAGAAAAGAATAAATTGCCCTCTGCTATTCCACTACCAGGGAAAAGCATGGCTTGAGCCTCTAAGAGCACAACTTCAGGGTAGGTGGCAAGGTGTATTGGAAAAAGGAGAGCTGTCAGTCTGGAGACTCAAGTCTCAGTATCTCAGCAGTCTGTAAAATAAGTGGGTTGGATGAGATGATCTCTGAGGCCCATTTTAGTTTTGATACTTTCAGAAGTGAATTCATGGTCTTAGCAAATCACAAAAACCCAAAGAGATATTAATCAATGACTTGTGAGGTTTAGGTGTTACACAGTGGATCAGACAGAATGTCAGAGAGCATAATGACTGAAGAGAAAGATTTGTCTAGATAAACCCTTGCCCTTCCTGACATCTAATTTCAGAGGCCAGCTTAGGATCCTGAGCAGCTGGTCAGTATGGCATTTCATATTTGCAAAAATGTCAAAGTGACAAGTAACAATAATAATTACCAGCTTTCATCTACTGAGTCTCTATTTTTCTTCGGTTTGTGCTAAGCACTTTTAAAAATATCATCTGCTGGGCACGGTGCACACCTGTAATCCCAGAAACTCAGGAGGCTGAGGTAGGAGGATTATGAGTTCAAAACCAGCCTCAGCAACTCAGCAAGGCTCTAAGCAACTCAGCAAGACCCTGTCGCTCATAAAATATAAAAAAGTTGGCTCGGTGGTTAAGTAGTGCCCTGGTACTACTATTACTACTACTAATAATAATAAAATAAAATATTATCTTGTTAAATACCCACAACAATTTATCAGGAGGCCTTATTGTTGTCTCTATTTTATAAGTGGGGAAGCTAAGGAAAAATATTACATTACTGCCAATGTCAGATAAGACAGATTTCATTCAAGTCAGGTTTAGAACTGATGCTCTTAATTTCCACCAGTTGGTCTTCTAAGTCACGGCAGTTTAGATTCAAACACATCTATCTTCTGGACAAATCCATAATGCTTCTTAGTAGCAGATGCATTTCCATGCAAACAGCTCCCTAGGCCAGGCATGTGTGACAGTCACGTAGCTGCAGGAAATTGAAGCACACATTGAGCTGAAGTTAAGCCAGGTAGCATGTTTGCTGAGCGCTCTGCGGGTACTTTTTTCCAGAGGCAAGGTGAGTGAACATCAGATGACGGATGTAATCTTTACGGTCAATAGCCCTGTCAGGTTGATGACTATGCATCTATTATATTTTCTGGTGTACTAAGCCAGAAGGGGAAATAAAGGATTGTGCTCCTGGATAGACACATGATGGCAATTATTGGTAAAGTGTTGGGCCATTTCCTACATTGTCCCATTGGAAAGTCTAATTCCCATCCTCAATAAGGTAGCATGTCAAGAAATAAGATTGTATCTCTGGTAGCACTCTAGAAATGTCAGGCTGGAGGAGAAGGCATAAAAATAAATATAAACACAATTTCAGCAGGCCTATCATGGTTCATAAATGGAGAATCCTAACAGTTTTCCAATTCCCAGTTCTGGGCTCCAAAGAGAGCCCTGAAGAGTCATTATTATACATAAAAGATGACCTGAAGATGAATGCACATTCTTTCATTCATTCCTTTGGCAAATATCTGTAAGGAACTTCCACAAGCCAAGCATTTGGTTGGGTTCAAAGGGTATGAAGATGAATAAGACAGTTAATTCCTTTTCCTCTAGGAGGTCAGAGCAGAGGGAGGGAGAAGTATGTGCCACCCACGGTGGGAGCACAGGGAAGAAATAAATAACCTGAAAGGTAGGGTAGGAAAAGAATCCTAGACAGGTAACATTGGGCTGGAGCTCAGAGGACCAAAGAGTCTACTAGCTGAAAACAGTAAAGGGCATTCCATACAGAAGGAATAGCAATATGAAAAGGCTAATCAGCTTGAAGGGGCAGGACATGTTCAGAAATATGAAATGTTTAGAATGATCATAAGGGAGTAAATGAGAGACATAATGGAGAATGAGAGTCTGGAGAAGGGTAGTAGGAATAGTAGGCATGGAAAGAGGAAATTTTAACATGTGCTGTCAGTTTTGAGAGTTAACAGGAAGAAGGGCCGCAAAGCAATCTGGCTATTTGATATCACACAGAGAAAGTGGCAACCTAGTGGAAACAGTGCAATGTTATAAACTTCTAGGTGCACTTCTGGTGTATAAATGATGGTTTGAGGTTGAATGGTTCTCAGATAAACAGAGTTCAGTTCATGTTTAGGGGGCAGTTTGGCAGGATTATGGGTGCAGTTTTAAGGAAGGAGGTAAGAAGGGGCAGGTAAATGAGTTGGCCTCTGATGGGACTGCAGTTTGGCCATGAAGCTGACAGCTTTGCAAAACGATAGGAAGGAATACTTCTGGGAGAGCAGTTTGGCTGAAATGAAGCTTGAGGCAGGACATCAATGTTATCAAGGGGCTTTAATAAAAACCTGCCAGATATTCGCATTTGGCTAGAGATGTTTGGAAGCTTGAGTGCTTGAGGTGATAAGGGGAATACACATATTCACTGCAGCAGATTTAAGGTATTTGGAAAATAAGATAACTGCCTCCTTTCTAGTTGCCAGGCATCTAATCAGTCATTTTTAATCACTTTATATATTTTCTCATTTCATTCGCAAAGAAATTTGCAAGGGAAATATTTTAATACTCACATTTTACACAGGCAGAAACCATGCTGAGAGGTTAGGTAGCTTCCCCAAGTCTTACAGCTGGTAAATTGCAGAATTCAGTTTTAAACACCAATTTTGTCTTGTCTATAAGTTTGCATTCTCCTATCCTCCCAATTTTTATTTTAAAACATTTTAAACCTACAAAATGTTGAAAAAGCTCAACTCTTCACATCTCTTTACCAGGAATAACCAGCTGATTAACAGGCTGTGCTTGATGCTACAACATCCACATCATCTCCTGCAGCGTTCTGGTTGGGTTGTGATTGGTACACACAACAAAATTCCAAGGGCTGATAGAAGAAAGTCATGGGGGAAAAAAAAATTTAGAAGAAATCCCTCTTCAGATGTCTGAAGAAAGCATGAAAATGTATGGACATCTGGAAGGCAGAGAAAGAATAGGAACACTATGGGCGTTTCAACTTCTGTCCACAGACCAGGCTTGGGAGTCACTGGCAATGGAAATGGAAATAAAAAAGGTTAGCTCTAGAATCCAAGCACTGAGAGGAAAAGAGTGACATATTTAAAATGAGCTTCAAAAAAATTTGGTGTGTTGGGGGCGGGTAGGAGTACTGGGGATTGAACCCAGAAGCACTTTACCACTGGGTTACATCTCCAGCCCTTCTCATTCTTTATTTTGAGACAGGGTCTCACTAAGTTTACTTAGGGCTTCACTAAGTTATTGAGGTTGGCCTTTAACTTGTGATCCTACTGACTCAGCCTCCTGAATCACTGGGATTACAGGAAAACTCCACCAGGCCTGGTGGGCTTCAGAATTTTATATCTACATCTGGTGGTGGTGGTACTAGGTCAACCCAGGAGTGCTTAATCATT